AATGTAACACTTTGAATATCTTAATCCTATATAAATTGCCCGCGGCTCTTCTCGCACAGTTTAAGCCCTTTAGGGGTCGAATTTCCATAAGCCCCCTTTTTTCGGATACTTACCTATAAGGTATCTTCTTTTAATATTGGGAAATGCATTTAAGCAAACCATTAACCACCTGTATATTCATACAAGTAAAAATAGTATTATGTAATCGGTGACATACATTTTATCTTTTCAGTTTAATTATATTAGTATACACTATAAACTTTACATATCACCGTCTCCGGAGAATAAAATGATTACTGATATTACCATAGTTTTAGTGTTATCCCATATTCGAAATCTACGGTGCCTAATACATCTACCTAATTTTTTCGTGAATATCCAGCCATTATTCAAAAAATTATAGAATATTGCAATCATTTTTGTCACTCTTTCAAACACACAAGGCTTCTTGAAAAAAAAAGAAGTTAGTGAAACTGTTTCTTCATTAAAGATACAACAAAAACTTTTGCAATAATATTCTCGAAAAACAAATCGGCGAAATAATTGTGAACGCTATTTTTTCTCATTTTGTTCTCGTAAAAATCGCTTAGGCTCGGCGACTAACATGTTCTTAGTAAATAGTACTTACTAATAATTACTGAGCAAAGAAATATCTTGCCATCCTTTTCTGTCATTAGAGAAAGCTTACGTTAGACAGTGACAACACTACACCACAACTAGAATAGAATGCCAAGTGATATTGTTTTCCGTTAATTTAGTCTGTATTATTCGTTAAATAATATTGTAAAACAGTAATACAATACTCACAATCTGTTAAAAGTAACAAGAATAAAATGCTAAGTGTTATTAGTAAATAAAACCAACAACAAATTTTACTAACTTTTTAAATTCTAAATATCTTCAGTTCGGATAACCTTGGGATAACATATATTAAAACATTATAAAAGTTAAAAAATTAGCTATCATTAAGCTTTTTTTTATCTCTCTATATCTATTTCTTAGAAAGTTAAAGTAAAAAATATGTTTTTTACTTTTCCTGAAAAATTGTGTTTTTGCAGTTATCATTTTATTCTCGGGGGGAAGCGATATCTAATATATAAATTATATTTAATATATAAATTAAGAAATCAAAAATTGCAATGATATATTTAGATATAGCTATTTCATTTATTTTTAACAATATTAATAAATATCTATACAGATAAATAAAATTTGACATGTCTATTTGTAATGTCAAAATAACGCTTTTTACTAAATACATATGAAATTATATACTGTACTTATAAGAAAAAAACAAATTTTATTTTATTTTTTTGTACGTCTATCTGTTCCGGCTAATCTCCAAAACGGCTGGACCGATTTTGACGGGACTTTCACTGGCAGATAGCTGATGTATAAGGAGTAACTTAAGCTACATTTATTTTAGTAAAAGTATTACGGTTCTGCGCAAAAAGAATGAAAACAAAATCGTACCCATAGATGTATAAGTGAAGTTTTTAATATAATTTTGGCTACGTCACAAAATCAAAATAGACGTATCGTCATAAATGCCGGATGCAAAAACAGCTAAGTCAATTTTTTATCTTGCCATGTAATTATTGTAAGCAAAGAGACATTAAAAAAAACCTTGACTTAACAAGACCACTAATTAACTGGTCTTCGAGATTTGTTGATAGGTAGGTATGTACTAGTGGATACCTAGTGGACGAAATTCAACCGTAATCATTATTGAAATATGAGGAAAATATATATGAATAGAATTTACCTATCTATATAGAAAAGGCAGCGAAGGCAGTGTTAGCCCAGTAGTAACGCGCTCGCTTGGGAAACCGAGTGAAGCGAGTTCAAATCCCGGGTCTCTCACCTCTGACATTTTCATGTTCGAATCTTTTCCAATATGATTACCACTTGTCTTACGGTGAAGCTAAACATCGTGAGGAAACCTGCATGTCTGAGAAAACTTAGCAAGTTTTCAAAAGACCTGAACCCGCACTTGGCGAGCGTGGTGGACTATTGCCTGATCCCCCTCGTATCGAGGGAGGCCCGTGCCAAGCAGTGGGACGTTAAAAAAGGCTGAATACATTAGTTTCTTCGATTTTATAAATCTCTTCATCATCGTTTCGACTGTTTTACAGCAAACATGGTTTTAAACGTCTCAAAAGTTATTATATAGTTGTTACAGACAGTATCGATCCAAAAAAATATATAATAATTACAGGCCACAGTCCACCATGCTGGCCAAGTGCGGGTTGGCGTATTTCTCAAGTCTCACGATGCTTTCCTTCACCATTAGACCGTAGTAATAATATTAAATATGAATATATGTTATGACATAGCTTCTGACGTTTTTACTTTTTACGAAGCAATGGCGCCGTGTTTTGCAATTTTAAATTTACCACGCGTTTTTTGGACTTTTTATTGATTAACTCATATAAATAAGCAAATGATGGTGTATATATAACTTTTGATCAAACAACTGTTTTAATTTATTCACTCCAACATGTGTAGCCTACGGTATGTGATAGTCAAATATAAATTATGTCTTTAAAAAAGGTATCGGGTAAACTAAAAAATATAAGTACATTTTCCAATGAGATCTTAATATTTTAAATAAGTCTAACAAAGTATTACATATCATATTATTATTATATTTAGTTTTCACACTATCTACTAAGATAATCCTATCAAAAACATAAAATGTAAAAAGTTTGCCAAGTCTCGCGCCTTCTTAGGACCATCGTAGATGTAATAAATGTAAGCCAAGCCTGCCGTTTTTTTATGATTGTATAACAAATTAAATAATTTTTCCATTAGCTTTTTATATACGAGAGGAGTCGAGGGCAAACTCAAGTAAAAAATTATAACGTGCTTAGATTTATAATGATACTGAACACAATTATACTGTTATCAGAACTAAAGGCGTGTGTAATTTAAGATCTTTTGATCAACAGGAAGAGTCTCAAATTTCGATTACTATATTTGACCCACACAAGACAAAAACAAGGCAAACTAAACAAAACCGTTTAATAATAGCGTGGTAACAATTATTACAGTTCGAATTACGGACCCCAGAAACTTGACATATTGTAGTAATAATATCGAAGAATTTAAATACGAAAATATATTTGTTAATATATGTATTTCCTCGCCAGGGAAAAGGAGGGAGTTCGGATACAAAAAAATATATTTGAGGAGTTTTTAACTTAAAAAAATCTAGATCAGAATCAGATCAATCAATCAATCAGAATAGAGATCAGATTTTAAAATTATTAATTTAAACTTTTAAATGTCACAATTAAGGATAGATTTTTTACGTAAATGGAATTCTTCAAAAACATCGCATAATATGCCATATAAATTTGAGAACCTATGTACTTTTTCAATCGATTACTTAATCGATATTAATCGATCGTTGTTATTGCCTCAAAAAGATCAAAAACAAAGGAGAAAATGCAGGAGAAGCGGAAAAAAACAGCGATGTCGTTCAAACTTTACAATATAATTATAGGCTGTTATATGGCACATGTTTAAATAAAAACTATAACACGATGTTTACTTTCGACCGCGCCATATTTTAATAACTCTGATGTGTCGTGTCTGAAGACTCCATAGAGATAAAACTCATATAAACAATAATTTATTATCGTTTTTGCTGTTTACTGACAAAGACAAAAGTTTTTTTTTCTCAATTAATCTCAGGAAATACTAATCTATTTTGACAAATTATTTTTGCATTTTAAATAACACTATTTTCGGATTATTTCGCGGATTTACGTTTGATTTTTGGTTCCCGACATTTGGAATGCTTTACAGCAATCATGGTCACGGGAGAGACTAAGGTTTAAGATGTCTTGAAGGCGTTATACTTGTTACAGACAGTGCCTACCCACCATTTTATAAAAATGATTTCAAAAATTCAAAAATCGCACCAAAGTACCTTACAATATTTGTTGATTTTAATTCTAAACATTTAAAAAAAATAGTAAATTAATTAAATATAGCAATATTATTCATTTAATTTTATCTGTTATTATTATAAATATTACAATTTTTTAAAAAGCTTCATTAATTACTGATATTATTTAGTGTTGCTATTATTATATTATGTATAACCATAAAGAATATTAAAAATTAAAAATATTAATTGTTTATTTAAGCAATATTATTGTTTTATATGTAATTTAAGAGAAGTTAAAATATTAAGCAACACTATTGCTACCTTTATAGACAAAAAATATTAATCACAAAATGTATTATTATTGGGATTCTTTCTGCGATTCTTTTTGCATTAGATAGCTAGTTTACTGAGGAAGGCTTTAGGCTTATATATCATCACGCTACTACCTAAGAAAGCGGAACAGTAATCATAAATGTCAACAAATCGGGCAGAATTATTGTAAAACTGATCTTAATATGTTTAAGTTTTTTTTTAACGTTGGGAAATGCATTTACGCACGACGTGTGGGACTCACCGGCGTAATACAGCCAGTACTACCCACTAAAACCCAACAAAACCTTCCCCCGTCTTAATGGGGCGTCGCAGGATCGCTTACGCATTCAACTACGACGCCCCGACGGCAGGTCTGCCAAAGCAGACCACCACAACCATGGGGTTGCTCCAAGGTCCACTCTGCTATCAGAGAAGTACCAGCAGCAACCCGCAAGGTACACCGCCCCCCGAAGAGGGCCACCTCCCACCGTCCACCGAAGTGGGCAACCTCCCTGTGCGTTTCTTAGCTTCGCGCCCGGTTGGATTGCCGGGCACTACTGAGCCCCCCCACCACGACAAGGTGAACGCACGTTGGGGGGAATATAAACATATTCCCCCCAACAAGTGCTTTAAGCTCAGAGTATATAACATATAGTCTATCTATTCCATACTAAAAGTTAAAACTTGCCCAATTTACCAATAATTAAATAATTTTTAACTAAATAAAAGACAAATTACTAAGTTTTTTGGAGAATTTTCCTTGAAATTTATGTTTTTTTTTTTGTTTCAGCGCTGTTAATACTGTCTACAACTTTCGCTTTGAGTTTGATTGGAACAATATTCTTCTGCTTCACTAACACTATCAACGATGCAATATTATCGGTAAGTAAGGACTGTAACATACTAATATTATAAATGTGTTTTTTTTTTGATTTCAACAAATTTAAAATTCGATGGGATGATACTTCTCGATGGTATTACAAGCTCTGCTTCGGTACGAGGGTGTAACGCTGCCAACTTCCCAACTCCTTACTTAACGGAAAAACTCAATAACTATTAACCTGATCCGGAACTCGAACCCGGGACCTCCGGACATATTAGCTACTAGACTACCGAAGCAGCAACAGCGAGAATTAAATATAAAAATCACTATATTCATTTAAACAGAAAAAATCTTTTTTTTAGAATATGGTCATAAGAAACAACACTCTCGCATATTCAATGTGGCGGCGACCGAGCGTGCACCCCTTGATGAAAGTTCACATTTTCAACTATACAAACACGAAACAAGTGCAGTCTGGTATGGAAAGCAAGTTTAAAGTAGAAGATGTCGGTCCCTTTGTGTATGAGTAAGTATTTTTCTTATTATTATTTGTTTTATTTTTATTTATTTCATCTATACTAATATTATAAAGAGGTAGTTTGTGAGCTTGTGACGTTGTAGGGGGTAATCTCTGGATGTACAGAACCAATTCAGATGAAATTTTGTAGGAAGATAGTTTGATACCCTGGGAAGGACATAGGATACTTTTTATCCCGGAAACAACTTATCCCTTAAGGTGTTGAAAATGGGGATGAAAGTTTGTATGGAGAATCAAGCTAGGGATGAAACCGAGCGAAGCGAGGGTGAGTCGCTAGTTTATTTATATTTTATTATGGAAAATCAACCCATTTTAGCTTACGTTTAAGCTTACGGTAAGCTACGAGGCTTGTGTTATAGATACCAGATAGTTACACACATATAAAACTCTCAATACATACATATTATAAATATAAACACCCATGACTGGAGTACAAACATTGCTCATCACACAAATGAATGCCCCCAGCGGGATTCGAACCTTTTTTTTTTTTTTTTTTAACGTTGGGAAATGCATTTACGCACGAAGTGTGGGACTCACCGGCGAAGCCAGTACTACCCACTAAAACCCAACAAAACCTTCCCCCGTCTTAATGGGGCGTCGCAGGATCGCTTACGCATTCAACTACGACGCCCCGACGGCAGGTCTGCCGAAGCAGACCACAACAACCATGGGGTTACTCCACGGTCCACTCTGCTATCAGAGAAGTACCAGGAGCAACCCGCATGGTACCCCGCCCTCCGAAAAAGGCCGCCTCCCACCGCCCACCGAAGCGGGCCACCTGCCTGTGCGTTTCTTGGCTTCGCGAGTACACTACTGAGCCCCCCCACCACGACAAGGTGAACGCACGTTGGGGGGGAGCGGGATTCGAACCTGCAACCGTTGACACAGCAAGTACGGTCACTACAAACTGAGCCAAACGTGTCAAATAATAACAATATTTATTTTGTTGTTTGTTTATATGAACTCGTAAAATATCACACGTACTTATATTTTCAATTATAAGAGTCACCTTTGATAAACATTGGTGCCTATAACTTTTTTCTGATACGATGTAAAATTAATTTATAATGGAAGGTGCGTTTTATTTATAACTTACTAAAGTTACTGATAAAAAATATATTATTGAGATTCGACAGAGTATTTTACAGGTACTTCACTTAGTTGTTAAGGTTTCTAATAATAGTTAATAATAAATAATAATAAATATATTGGGACATTAACACACAGCACCATCTAGTTCCATGGTAAGCTACGAGGCTTGTGTTATAGATACCAGATAGTTGATACACTACACATATATAACTTTAAATACATACATATTATAAATATAAACACATGATTGGAGTAAAAACCTTCATGCTCATCACACAAATGAATGCCCCCAGCGGGACTCGAACCCGCGACCGCTGGCACAGCAAGTAAGGTCACTACAAACTGAGCCAAGCGTGTCGTCAAGTTAACAAAATAGATTTATTTTGAACTTTGCTCGTCCCACGTGGGTCAGTCAACCAGTTCGCTGTTTATGGTCCCAATGCTGAGCGCGGGCCCCTTCCTAATATTTGGGCTACCAGGTCCATCACGCTGGCCATGTGCGGGCTGGCGGATTTCACATGTTGAAAACTTACTTGGTTCTCTCAGACATGCTTGTTTCCTCACGATGTTTTCTTTCACCGTAAGGCAAGTGGTAATCATGTTGGAAATAATTCGCACATGAAAATATCACTCTTTTCAAAAAAGACACCTACCTATGTAGATAAACTTAAAATGCAAAACCTTATCTAAGTACAAAGTTTGATCCAAATCGTTAGAGCCGTTTCCGTGATATACGAAATAAATTTATATATATACAATAATTACTCGTTTAATAAGATAATTATAATGACGATTCTATTACTGCAACTACGCACAAACTAGCAAGTTGCGCGGAACATAATATTATAGCGTACGAAAGCGTAATCTATACCACAGATCATATAATACTATACATATAATAAAATTGTAACTAAGCCGAATCTATACATTAAATATTTTTTGGAAAATCTTATTGAAATAGACATTATTATCGATAAAGAATCCATATCTATAGTTTTTAGAATTTTTGTCTGTCTGTCTGTTACCGCATCACAGAAAACCACTGGAGGGATTTTGATGAAATTTGGTATGATGATAGCTGGTTATTCGGGTCAACTTAAAGGATACTTTTTACCGCGGAAAAATATCTCATTTCTGAGAAAAAATACAAAAACTGCATTGTAAGAGTATACTAATAAGTAAAACCTAAGAATTAGGTTTTTGGTCATCTGAACGCGGGCGGAGCCGCGGGCAATGCTAGTGCAAACATAACGCTCACTATCTGGTGCTTTAAATGTACGACTCGCAGAAAGATAAGGTGCAGTAGGTATTCTGTAACAACTTTTATGTACTTCAACTTCGGATCTGCTTCTCTTCTCGATTTCCAGTCTATACTGGTATTCTCTAATAGTTTCTGTTTCTGTCACTCTCATACTCCGTTGAGGTTACAATTCGACAATAACGGTCAGGGCTTCACGTGCTCTCTGAGGCACGGTGGTGAAACATGACCAACTTCTCAACTACTGAAAATGTCTTGACAGAAAACCTCATTACTTTAATTTGCCAGACTCGGAATTCGAACCCAGAGCCTCCGGATCTGGCAGATCCGATCTGCAGCTATACATGCTAGCCCTAGACCACAGAGGCAATTTAATTCTTAAGTATAATAAATCTATATACAAATAATCTAAGATATTCCTAGAACGAGTTAAATCATACTATTGTTTATAATGAGTGAGTAAATTACCCTTTATCTTTTTCATTAATATATAAAGGTTACAGCAAAATGTATCTTATTTGTATACATTTAAAGTTCATTTTCAAATGTTGTATTTTATCTAAACGTTTATCAAAGCTTTCAATAGTGTTTTAATAGTGTTTATAATACATATTTATTAAGTTTTTGCTTCACTTAAGACTTATATTTATGTAACAATTATAGTATAGATTGTTATCCATACTAATATTATAAATGCGAAAGTAACGATGTCTGTCTGTCTGTCTGTCTGTTTGTTACCTTTTGACGTCTAAGGGGCCATTCATTAAATACGTAAGAGCCCTCCGGGCTCTTCTAAGCAGACCTGCCTCCCAAGTCTGTGGTAGCTGCCTCGCGGACTTACATTATTGTTATTATATACAAAAAAAAACAAGTCTATCCCTACGGAACCCTATTTTTACGGGTTAAAAAGTAGCCTATGTGTTATTCCAGACTATAATCTATCTCTGTGCCAAATTTTATCCAGATCCGTTCAGCCGTTCTGGTGTAAAAGAGTGACAAACATCCATCTTCAGAAATTTTCACATTTATAAAATATAATAGATTAGTCTATAAGTATAGATTTAAAAATTTACAATTCAAAAGTCTTCGTAAAAGACAAATTGAATAAAGTAATTTTCATTTCAATATACAATACTGTACTACATATATATATACATATATATATATATATATATATATATATATATACATACATATATATATATATCCAATAATTACTGTTCAACTAAATACACATAGGTTTCAATATTACTAAACGAATTACGTGGCGGTAGAATTTTATCATAAAAATGTGGCGTCGCCTTTGAGGATAGTTAGGTAAAGGTAGGAAAATTTGTTTCAAAATATCTTCTTTTAAATATTTTATATATTCTTTTTGTAAAGAAAATTAGAAATTCTGGACACTACTCTATCAATTCATGATATTCAAAATCAGACCTTTTCCATTTCAGCAACAATGTTAATGGCACAATCTGCTACCAAAGTTCACAAGGATATGTTATCTGTAACACTTATCAATGGACGAAGTGCACTATTATTTCTCTGAACTTTTATTATAAAAAACAATGTATTTATTTTTCAAGTACGAGATGTTATTAGCTTATTGCTTCCTGCGAAAATCGATTCGAAATAAAAAAATATGTTGCAACATTAACACAGCACCATCTGGTTCCATGGTAAGCTACGAGGCTTGTGTTATGGATACCAGACAGTTGATACACTACACATATATAACTTTAAATACATACATATTATAAATGTAAACACCTGGACTGGAGTACAAACATTCGTGCTCATCACAAAAATAAATGCCCCCAGCGGAACTCGAATCCACGACCGCTAGCACAGCAAGTAGGGTCACTACAAACTGAGCCAAACGTGTCGTTATTGTTTAAAATCTTTATACCTATTATAGTTCCTTTATCACCTCACATTTATGAGTATTGAGCACTCGTTTTGACGAAATTGGCAGATAGATTCGTCAGGGAGTAGATATCCGCTTAGAAAGAATTTTTGGATATTCAACCCTTAAATGGGGTAAAAAAGGGTTTGAAGGGGTAGGAAATATTCTTTAATATTATTGGCGTGATTTTTTTGTGTGGAGATAGTTGTAGGACTGGAGAGTGACATAGGCTACTTTTTATCGCGGGAGATCTCTTTTCCACGGGAAAACACGTTATAATATAATTCAAAAAAATATTTATTATCAGAATTACTTGAAACTTGGTATTAATACTCTTCAATACAATTAATTCATTACGCGTTTCAACATTTTTCAAAATTCATCCCATAAGGGGGTAAAATAGCGGATGAAAATTGGTATGAAACCTACCTTCTTAGAGTTTTTTTGTAGTTTTAGCGCGAGCGAAGCCGCGGGTTCTGCTAGTATAAAAAAACGGATGACTTACCCTCGCCTTAAAGAAGTCAACAAACTCGCAAAAATTTACATATAGTTACAATAATATTGAGGCAGTGGTAGCCCAGTGGTGACGCGCTCGCATGGGTAACCGAGTGAAGCGGGTTCAAATCCCGGGTCTCGCACCTCTGATATTTTCATGTGCGAATCATTTTCAACATGATTACCACTTGCCTAACGATGAAGGAAAACATCGTGAGGAAACCTGCATGTCTGAGA